ATAATGAATATGAATTTTCATAGTTGCAACAATTAATAAAATTCAGGTGAATTTAAACCTGGCAAATAAAGTGACTTGGTGGCTTACTACTTAGAATTCCACTTTTTTTTAGGCGTATGCACGCCTAATTATTTAGGTTGTTCCCTGGTTTATTTCTCCATCTCCCCGAGAATAAGGGTTATCCATCTTGTCTTTGATAGAAGAGTGTCCCGTGTGCATTTTGTCTTCTGCCTTTTCTGAGGTTTGTGTCCACTGATGCATGTCTGCATCACTAAGTTTCTGATCACCAGGTCCTTTACTCTGCATCTTCTGTGTCTATACTGCAAGCCCCAGTTGGACTCCCCATGTGCTCTTAACTGCCTCTGTGCATCTCTTAGAAAGCATGAGAAATGCAAGGTTACCACTCCACCCCAATCTAGAGTCACAGGGGACTGGAAGCAGGGTGGATGAGGGTGGGGTAGGTGATTTCAGAATGTCCTTTGTCAGTGCTCACCCCATACATATTTTCGTATATCATGGCTGCCTTTAATGGTGTGGAGCTCTCTGAGAGGATTTCCTGTCTGAGTTCCAGTTGTCAAACTGGAAACTAATTCTTCCTAATTTCGTATCTCTATCTTATCAAGGGAGGGTGGCATTCACCAATTCCCCAAGGGCTTGGCCCCCTGGAGGAGTCACTGTGAGAATTTTTTCTCAAGATCCTATGCCAACTATTCACGGATCTTCTCCAAGCTCCACAACTGCATGCTAGGAAAGGTTCTTATCTCCTTCCGCGTGGTGGAGGAAAAGCTTACATTCCACCACACACCTTTCCTTTGCTGTGTTTTTTGTTGAAACTCTCCGTGTTTAGCATCCCAGGTTGATTACCTCTTTTTCAATGCTACTGCATCTTTTCTCTCAAGAGCCTGCTTTTGAATTCATTAAGAATTTGACTTACTGAATTCTGCTTGCTGGGTTTTCTGGTACACTCTCTTTTCTAGGACAAAAGCCTTAGCCCAAAGATAATTTTTAAATAGTGAAGATGTTTCAGGGTAAAAAGAAAATGACAAGAAGGTAGACTACATCTGGCAATATTTTAAAGAATTCTACAGCTACTTATAGGGTATGAGCTGAAATTACTGACATGATCTACCCTAAAATCTCCCCTTTGGTGGAAACTGGAAAGAAGCTAGGCACATTTTTCAAGATGTTAAGCTGAAATAGTCTAGAAATTTCCCAGAGAGAGCAGGTTTTTCTTTCTCCCATTCCTTGGCTTTGAGAGTATTCCTATGCCACTAACTTCTTTTCCATGCCCTCCCATGAGCTGGGAGGACGGGTTGGCAAAATTCCAAACAACAAACACTACTCACTGTCATCCAATGGACTCAAACTACCTCTTTGGGGAACAAAAGAAAAGACCTGTGGCTAAAATACATCAAGCCTAGGACACTAAAGCTCTGCAAGAGAAACTGTGGGGAATATTATTTCCTTGGCTGGAGAATAGATTGGATGACTAGAATGTCCTTTTCCCAGTCTGCTAATTTCTATGATTCAAGGAAAGCAGGTGTGAAAAGGTACAGAGGCAACCCAATTCTCTGAATAAAACTGAAGACTAGTTATGCTAGTATTTTGAAAAGCTTTCTGAGATTTTAATAAGTATTTGCTAATAATAAAATATCACCACATTAAAAAGAATTAAATTTATGCTTATATTATCATAGACTTAAGCCCTTAGATACTGGGAACAAGTTAAAACATCCCCAGATCTCTGAGTTCCTGATGGTAAATATTCATAAAACACGATGAATGCAGTGCAAATGGAGATGCTTTATTCCCAGAATGAGCTGTTGAAACTAAACTCATTTAGTTATTAGAATATTCCCATTCCAAGCACAGTTTATACCCCATAAAGAAATAAATTATGTTTTATTTTATTTTTTTATTTTTTATTTTTGGTACCGGGGATCGAACTCAGGTCCTTGCGCTTTCAAGGCAGGCAGCAGAACCACTGAGCTAAATCCTCAGCCCTAAGAAATGAATTATGGCTAATTGATATATGTATTGTATATATGTATGTGTATATGCATGATTTTTGAATTTTAAAAGGTATTTTACCCATGACAGCGAAGAGTTTAAGTACTAGAGCAATTAATCTCTCAAGCCATGATGTTACATCATGTAGTATTGTGAAGAGCATGGGCTGGGGTCAGAATACCTGGGTGAAAACTACTTACTAGCTCTGTGGCCTTGGGGAAGTTACTGAACCATTTTATGTAGCAGTAACCTCTTCTCCAAGATGGAAGCAATAATTGCACCTGTCCCATGGGGTGGTTATGGGGATTAAATGGGTTAAGACATGGTACCCTATAAATTACAAATAAATGTGAGCTTTTATTATAATTACTAGTATGTGCAAGGCTTCAAGTTAGGTGCTCTGAGGGATAAAAGTAAAAGATACACAGTTCCTACCCATATATAGTTTACTATCTAATTAGGGACCTAAGCTACTTTCCAATATAAAGTTAAGTATTAATACCTGGGGAGAAAACCAATAGTTCAGTTTAGCAGCAGAGACCAGCCTTTTCAATAAAAAGCCATTGGGACTGGGTGACACGTACCAGAGGAGTATTTTTATACAAGGGGTTAGTCTCCCATTTGTTCCCTTTCACCTGATGTTTATCTCTCTATGAAAACAGGCTCAAGGCACATTGTACAATAAACACTGCTGTGGCCCAGCCAATGTTAATCCTGCAGTGGCTTAGCCATGGCTGAGTATTAAATGACGCAGATGCTGAGGCTGGATTAGGGCTCTTGACAACAGAGGTAGGTTGAACTGTGAGTGCTCTGAGAAGTGGGCCAACTGCTCAATACGGTTATAGGGGGTGGTGGCTGCTTCAGCTGATTTTTGGATTTCTCTGAGTTACAGAGAGTTCCAGTTTAGCTGTGATTATCCAGTTTTAAGAGGTAATTTTGTGCAAGAACTGGCACAAAACAGTGCATGTCTAACTGCCGAACAAATAGTGTAGTGAACAAATGCTCCATGAGATCAAGGACAGGGCTGCTTATTGTGGTCTGAACAGGGATTGTTATGAACAGTCTTGGGAAGAAGTAATTAAGAAAGGCCTTTGACAAAATTTAAGGTGCTCTTTGGACTAATTAATCCCTTTTAAGTCAAATATTAATTCTTCCAACTTCATATCTTAGTTTGTCACTCTAGGTTTTCACTTGCACACTGTCCCTAAATGAGACTTTGTAATGAAAGATAATTCTCTAATAAACTGTGAGTATAATACGGAATATAGCCTTCATCTATACCATTACTTCATCGGGAAAGGGGGATATTTTTAATTTTAGGTAATCAATTTACAAATCCCATTTTGAAAATTCTGTTGTTGTTTTTTTGTACCAGGGATCGAACTTGGGACCTTGTGCTTTGGAGGCAGGCGCCAGAACCACTGAGCTAAATCCCCAGTCTGAAAATTTTGTTTTAAGTCATTCTTCCATTAAACAATTACTTATTAAGTGCTTTGGATATGTGAAGGCATTGTTGTAGGTGATGAAGGAACACAGAACAGCAAACAAAACAAGGATCTCTGCCATGGTAGGGTTGATACTGTGGAGAGAGGAGACAGTAAAACAACATGCATAATAAATAATTGATATGGTGTGTTCAATGGTGATAAGTGCAATGGGATAAAGAAAAAACACAGTAAAAGGCCAGAGAACAGGTGGCAATTTAAAATAGGATAGCCTCTGAGGTTACATTTCAAATAAAGTGTTAAGGGAGCTGGCCGAGATACCAAATCAACCACATGTAGAGTAAGAGCCTTCAAGGCAGAAGGAAGTGCTAGTGCAAAGGCTCTGCGGCAGGACATTATCTACTGAGTTCAAATTGTAAGGATACTAGTATAGTAGAGCCCAGGTAGGTAATGTCAGACTGCGGACCCATGAGGACACTCTGGATAATGAAAGAGGTAGTGAGCTCCCAGGAGCTTTGGGGCTCACCTCTTCTTTAGCTGGCTGCAAGGGCTGTTTTTGTTTCCTTTGAACCTGAAAGTACTACTTAAAAGGCTTCTTTTAGCAATTTCGTTTTGGCCATGGGTTCCCTTGCCATTCGTGTTTTTACCACCTGGCTTGTCGAGGGCTGCCTCTGGGAACACAAAGCAGGCTGGGGGAAACGTTTCTCCTCACTGCTACCGTGAAGAGTCCTTTTCTGAGCCTCCACCTGGAAAACACTGTTCTGCTCCTTGGATGGTCATTTCTCTCTCTGACCACTTTTCTGCCTTACCCAATTACTGGAGTACTGATTCACGACCTTCATCTGGTCCTGTACCTTGAGAGCCAGCCCAGCTCGTAACCGAGGGTCGAGGCGCTGGAGGGTGTGGGTTTACAGTTTAGGCCTGGAAAGACTGGCCATTTGTGACAGTAAAACATAGGTTACCAAGTCTCAGAAGTGCTCCTAGGCATCTCTGAGCTGCAGCTTTATCATCAGAAAAATAGGAATGACAACTATACCTCCCTCATAAACAGAGATAATGCATATAAAGCATCTAGTAATGTGTTCAGCAATATGATGCTCACAAAATACGAGTTGCCATTATTTTTGGTATTTTCTAAGTAGCTCTGCGGCCTGGCATTATAGCCCCCACCTTCACATTCCCGGCTGCCAGAGCAAATCTCTTAGCAGAGGGCTTCAAGGATGAGACACAGAGGCCAAGTGCAGTCTCATCATGACGGCTGTCACAAGATATCACTGAATGGAGAGCAGTGTTCAGAAAATAGATGATGGAGGCGGTCATGATGGTTATCTTGTACAAAAGCAACGAATGTGCTTTGTGAGCTCCTTGGGGCACGCATGAGATACGCGAAGAGGAGACGCCAGCACACCTCAGCCGAGGTCGGAGAAAACTTTGCAATAGCGAGAGCAAGGGGGCTCGAGCCTGCGCGGTGGGCTAGTGCGCAGCCGCGGCGGGGGAGCCAATCACGCGGCGCAGTCTGCCTTCTCGCTGGGGTACGGTCGTGCAGTCGTGACGTCGGCGGTTGCTATGGAGATGCACGCTCCGTAGACGTAGACCGCGAGCTGACGCCGAGAGCCTCCGGGTCGGAACGTGGCTTTGAAGCAGAGTTTTCTTCCACCATGACCGGCCGCAGCAGAGGTCGAAAGACCTCCCGCGCCAAAAGCCGGGGCAAAGGCCGCGCCAAAGCCCAAGTCCGCGCTGCTCCTGACCACGCCTCGCGCGACCCGGATCCTCCACAGTGCCCGAGCCCCGGGGAAGACACCCAGGTGGCACAGGTGCAAGCTAGCGCGAGGGCGGGTGGCTCGAAGGCTGCTGCTCCTGAGCCGGCCCTGCAGCCTGGGGACAAGTACCAGGAGTCCTGCTGGCTGCCCTTGGACTGCGGCCTAGCGCTCAGGGACGAGGCCGGGGGGGACCGCGCGATGGCCGCCACCAGGCCAGGCCCAGGAAGGACCATGTCTTTTTCAGAGCGCCTGGCCGCAGACACCGTCTTTGTGGGAACTGTGAGAACTGTGGCAAGGCCGAAAAATGGCCCCCGCGCTGGGACCCGGCGTGGCCCTGCTGGGAAGAAGGTGCCAGAAAAAAGCTGTAGCTCGGCAGTAAGGGCGTCTCAGGCCATAGCTGGTGGAAAGCCGAAGAAAGGGGCTGCTGGGCAGTGTACTCCCGCCTCAGTGGGGGAGGAAAGGAAGGTGGTGGAGACGCTTTCGAGGTCCGGGCTCCTGGCACCCGAAGGCAACATGGACACCCTAGAGACGGTCCAGCTGAAGCTGGAGACCATGAACGCGCAGGCCGACCGGGCCTACCTCAGGCTCTCGCGCAAGTTCGGGCGGCTTCGACTATACCACTTGGAGCGCCGGAATGCCCTCATCCAGGACATCCCAGGGTTCTGGGGGCAAGCTTTCCGAAACCACCCCCAGCTCTCATCTTTTCTCAACAGCCAAGATAAAGAGGTACTAAGCTATTTGAACAGATTGGAAGTGGAGGAACTTGGCCTTGCTAGATTGGGCTACAAAATCAAGTTCTACTTTGGCCGTAATCCCTATTTCCAAAATAAAGTGCTCATCAAGGAATATGGTTGTGGGCCTTCCGGTCTGGTGATTTCTCACTTTACTCCGATCCAGTGGCTCCCAGGACACGATCTGCACTCCATATGTCAGGGAAACCCAGAAAAAACCCGTAGTTTTTTTGGGTGGTTTGTGAACCACAGCTCTATTGAGTCTGACAAGATTGTCGAGATTATCAACGAGGAACTATGGCCCAATCCCCTGCAGTACTACCTTATGAGTGAAGGAGCCCGTGGAGAGAAAGGAAGGGAGGGCAGGCCAGGTCCAGCGAAGCAGCCAGTGGAGACCCCTCAGCCTGGGGCAAAACCATCTAAGTGATCCTGTGCAAGTCTCCCTACTACCTCCTTCGGGATCTGTTCCTGGCTCCTCATGTGTGCTTGGCTGCCTTTGTTTTCTTCTTGACCTCCATGTACTGTAGTCCATTTGGACTTTAGCTACAAGAATATGGCACTTACGATCATGTTCTTTTGCCTCTCCATGGCCTTCTTGTTTTTTTTTTTTTTTACAATAGTGTGTGATCTTACTCTGCTGTTTTTATGTTAAGGACTTAAAACTTCAGATGCGTGCTGCCTATCTGTACATTGCCTGGACCCTGTTCTTGGCTCTGGCCTTTCCCACTTGTCTTTATCATGAACATTTACAAGTCATTCTTCAGGAGGACTAGAGCATCCTCAAGCTCTGCTACTTCATGGCAAGTGACTTGCTCGGCTTCAAGTTCATGCTGGCCATGGACATTATCAATGGAAAGCTTTGCTGTTACCACTGCAAAATGAAGCCAGTGCATGCAGTTAGCCAGAATTTATTGTTATATGGGTCTGGGAGCACCAGCCAAGGTGCCACCTACTTCATCTCTAGCTTTGGCCAGCAGAATGGCACTTACCATCATGTGTGTCTTCTTGCCTCTGGGCGTGTCTGCTGATGAATCTTCACTGTCTGGCTACGCCTGGTGACTGTCAGACCTCTAAATTTTGTCTAGGTTGCTATCAGCTCTGGTTGGCTTCCTGGGCAACAGGGACCTCAGGAACGCCTGTGGACTCAAGCACCCTGCCAATGCATGAGACACACCCGCCCTCAGACTTTAGGAACCCTCTTGTCTGAGACTGATGGGCAGGCTGGTATGTGTGGACATGCTCACTGTCTTCATGCTGTGGCTCCAGGTGAGGGTGGGGCCTGGGCCCCATCTTTGTCTGCTAAATACCTTTGTTAGCTTCCCCTATTTCATCTTTAAGATATGACCAGGGTGCCCTAGTGGAGGTGCTGTTGAAGAGGTGTTTCTCATCTGTGGACTGCTGTCTGCTTGACTGTATCTCGCATCTCCATAGTACTTCCTTGACTTCCAGATCTCTTTCCTACCCTGCCTTCCACTCTCCCTCTTCCCACCACCTGCCTTTCCTCCCCTGCCCCTTTCCTTTCTTCCTTTTTTATTGTTTTGAATTTTTGAAAATAGTACCACAGCTCAGGCAGAGAAAAGTGATTTCTACATATAGAACCAGGGATACAGCTGGGGACCTCTATGCACAATCACACACTAGGCTGAAATAGAGTCAAGGAAACCAAAAGGCCAACTGGGTTTGTGGTCAGACTCTGGTCCTCACACCTGGGGCTCACTCTACAGTTTTGATGTTGAAAACCCAACTACACCTGTGTTGTAGACTAGTGTCTACTCTTTTTTTTTTTTTTCTTTTGTGGCAGTAGGGGTTAAACCCAAGGCCTATGCACTGAGTTACATCCCCTCCCTTTAAAAAACAAGTTTGTGGTTTTGTGGGGTTGTGTTTTTTGTTTTTTTTGTTTGTTTTTGTTTTTTGTTTTTGGTGGTAATATCTCACTAGGTAGCTAAGTTGCTGAGGCTGCACTCAGGTTTGCTGTCCTGCCTCAGCCTCCCACACTGCTGGGATTACAGTCTGTTCTTGTTCTGACTTCTGTGTGTGTTCCTCACAACCCAGGGGCCTCTTGTCTCCTCCTTTGTAGTAGTTTCAGCTGTCTGGATCATCAGTCCCAACTTTCCCACTCTGACAGTCCTTTGCTCTGTACCTTCAGATGGCTGCAGGAGTAGGCACTGGTCTCCACTATATTCCAAGGTGCGCTTAGGGTGTGGGAATCTGTCCTAGACCTTCAGGTTGTTTCCAGTAGCTAGGCAAGCTGAGCCTGGGCCCACCCTGCACAGGCTTGTTTGTGTCCTCTTTCCTCCTCATCCTTGAGGGTGGAAAGGAGGATTAGGTCTACAGTTGCATTCCCCCGGTTTCCTTTACCTTAAAGTAGACCTCATTCTGAGTTTTGTGAGGGAGTCTTTGACTGAGAGTTGGAGTACAGCAGGGCCAGGTGGGGGAATTAGAGCAAATATGGAGAGAAGGGACAATCCTGGTATGGGATGGCGTTGGGGAAAAATGACAGAAATGGCTTGAGAAAGTGCAGGGAGAACATGCTTATCTCAGTGATAAAGGGGATAAAAAGAGCCTTCTTTAGGATCAGGAAAGGAGAGTTAAAGGGGTTGTTGATAAGTAGGATGCCTAGGTGAGGGTGAATCTAGAATTTTGACCAGTCTGCATCTCATCATTAGTGGATTTTTTGCCTCAGAGAAACAAACCAAAACTAGAATAATGTTAACTTTGGATGCTTCCTCTTGTTTTAGTTGTGACCTTGTGTATGTGGAAGCTTAATGCTACATTGCTGGGTATTTTGCTTCTAAAATCTTAACCACTTTTCCCCATTTTTGCCTGAAATTTACAAATCTACTTTTTTTTTTTTTTTTTTAAAGAAACTGTTTTGCTTTTTGTTAGGGACATTTTCAGAAGCACAGAGGATGGTCCTTGGTCCCTGTGTACCCATCACCTAGCTACAGTTACCAGTCGTGATGAATCTAATTTCATATGTAGTTGTTTCTTCTCCCTGTGTTGTTTATTGACAGTTCAAGACATTGTGCCCACGCAGCAAGACTACTTTGAGAGATCGGCACTCTGGTGGTGGTAGTTGTGGGGTGTACTATCATTATTATATCAGGTGTGCTTTTGGCTTTCAGTGTTAACTAATGAAGTCCCAGAAATGGGCCTTAGAAATGAGTCTTCAGAATTAGTAAGGAGACTCAGAGGTGAAGGGGATGCTCTGTCTCCCTCACATCCTCAAAAGGAGAGACTGTTCTGTTATAAAACTACTTTAAAGACTCTGATATAACATACTTGAGACCTTTTACTATAAAATCAGTCTTTTTTTTTTTCTTGTGTAATATGGCAGCTTGTATGACTGCTAGGATTGTTATCAGCTTATTCTGGTCTCATAATAAAACGCTGGTCTTGGAAATACAATTTGGAAATTATTGTTGTGTTCTATGAAAATAACCTCCCCAAAATAATCACTAACTAGTTGTTGTACTTGATAATTTGACAGTCTGGTAAAAAGACAATTATTTCTGTGTTCCTAAACAGAATAAATAGTTGTAAACTTGCATGCATGTTGGAAAAATAAAAACATATCTCTCTTATATGTCTCATTTGGAGAAAATAATTGGAAGGTTTTTAGGCAGAGGTTGGGTGGGCAGTTGAAGGATATGTACATTGGCCTAGTCAGTGGTGGCAAATCTATGGGACACGTATTTTTTTTAAGACAAAAGATGTTAATGTATGAGTTGTTTTTTCTAAACTAAAATCTCAATATTCGGGTTTAATTGCAGTGTTGGCACTTTGTGATAATGGGGGTTTGGGTTGCAGTTTGTGCACTCATCTCTTAAGAGGTTCACCATCACTGTCCTAGATACATGATTACCAAGCCTCAGACCCCTGTGTGACCGGGTGCACAGAAAGGTAAAAATCCCAATTCCTAGGTTTTTGCCAGAGATTGCAGTTGTTTGGTTAGGAGAGAAGCTATGTCATCTTGTATTTGACAAGTTTTCTAGGTGCTTCGTGTGGAAATTCAAGGATTCTCAACTTTTAGGAGTACATCTGAATTATGTGCAGCATCTTCTTAAAAATACAGATTCTGATTCAGTAGTCTGCATGGAACCCAAGATTAGCATTTTCAATGTGTTTTTAGATGATGAGAATGTTGGGTTTGTGGACTACACTTAAGTTGCAGGGAAGTTGTTCTTGAAGGCCCTTTACACTTGAGTAATGACCCTAACTTGGTTGGATATTGGACTGATCTGGAAAATTTAAACACACTGTCACAACTCCACACAGAAACCAACCAAATTAGAATGAGAAAAGATTAGTCAAGCCATGGAGATTTCAAAAGCTTTCCAGGTAATTCTGATGTCTGGCTAGACTTGAGAACTAGGTTCTTTGGTGCTGTTCACTTCAGGTATGTAATGAAGATCATTTCCTATGAATCAGGAGATAACAGTGGATGTCAATGACAGTGACATCCAAGTCCCAAGTGAAGCTGCCTAGCAGAAAGTGATTGGAAAAAATAAGAGGCAGGTTGTTAATTGATAAGAAAAGAAAATTGGCTTCTGTGATGAAGGTCTTAAATGAATATATAGTGTTCAGGGGATAGTAAATTCTCCAGTGTTGAATGAATTTATTATAGTCTATATTCAGATGTCACAGGGCTAGGTTGGTAAATCTATGAAGTGGGTCAAGTTTCTTTCATGAAGACATCTATTTTTTTTAGGCTTCCAGCGCAATGTACCACACAGTGGATTGTTGATGCAACAAATGTATTTCCTCAATTCTGGAGGATAGAAGTCCAAAGTCAAAGTATTGGCAGGATTGGTTTCTTCTGAGAGCCTCTCTCCTTGCCTTGCAAGTAGGTTTATTTTCTCATGTTTTCACATGGTCTTATGTCTTTATCTCTTATTATAAGAACATAAGATATATTGAATTGGGAACCAGCCCAATGACCTCAGTTAACTTTTATTAAAAACCTTGTCTCCTAACACAGTCACATTCTGAGGAACTTGGGATCAGGACCCCTATGTACAAGGATCCTAATTAGGTAGGCAGATGTATGAATGTGTGAATGTATTTTTTTTTTTTTTTTGGTACCGGGGATCGAACTCGGGACCTTGCACTTGTGAGGCAGGCGCCAGAACCACTGAGCTAAATCCCTGGCCTGGGAATGTACGTTTGAATTTGGTAGGTAGAGGGGTGACACAGTTCGGTGTGTAACATCTTAAATTATACTCTCTTGACATGTAGGTACTTTGCATATTATAGTAGTTACTTTAGTGAGGCTTACATTCCAGGCACTGTCATAGAAACTTTATGAGGGTTAATTCACTGACTCCTTACCATACTCCCACGAGGTAGGTGACAATAAACGATATCTCCAGTGAGGGAATAAGATGAGGAAAGGGAGTAAAAAGAACTTAGGTAAATCGAATCAGAGCCAGTAACGTGCAGTCTGGTTCAGGAATTCACATATGTGTAGCTCTTCACCAAAAACAGGAATCGTCTTTAGTTATTAAAAGAAATATGTTCTCGTTCAACTTTGATATGAAAGTAACTTTTGGTACAAAGACAGTAAAAAAGCTTGATGTTCAGAGGTCCAATAAGATGGGGTTGAAGAATGTAGGTTAGGGGAAGCAGCTCTGGAGCTCCAGCTGATTGTTCACTTGGGCAACATGGGCATTGTGTAGCTGCACCTTCAAGGAGAAGTAGGAAATCAGGACCTTTATGTAGAAAAGGCTACATTTCAATGTTTTCAGCTTGCTATTATCCCACATATGGAGAGTAGAAGGCAATTGCATGTAGCCTCTTTTTCAGGCCCAAGCCTCCTCTTGGAATTCATGCAGAGCCCTTGTCAGTTACTAACCGGGAGGGGTCCTTTGCCCAATTCAGAGCCTCCATTTTCCAGTAGCCCCTTTCAAGTGCCTCATATTAGTCCATTTTCTGTTATATGATGAAGTACCCAAAGCTGGATACTTTATAAAGGAAAAGGTTTATTTAGCTCCAGCTTTGGAGTGTGAAAGTCCAAACAGCATGGTACTAGTTCTGGTGAGGACCCCTCTGGCTGCATCACATCTTGGCAGATAATATCATAGCAGGGGTGCATGCGAGAGGGAGAGACCCCATCATGAGACAGGAAGCCAGAGAGCCATTCAGGAGTCAGGCTTGGTCTTTTTTATAACAACCTTTTGTGAGAACTAAGCAGAGTTCCACAGGAATCACATCAATTCCTTTTAAGGGGAGCGTCCTCAGTAACTTACTAGGTCTCACCCCTAAATATGTTCGCACTGGGTTGAACCAGCGGTGATACATGTGTGATTCCCAGTAGTCAGTTGGCCCCACCCAAAGGACTGTCCCATATTGTCCAGTGGGACAGTCGGCCATGTACTACTGATGGGTTAGAGCCGCCTGGCAGAGAGAAGAAAATTATGGCCCTGTTAAAGGGCCATGTTAAATGTGTTAAAGGATCTACCACTGCCTACTGTTGTTACTTTGAGCACCAAGATTCAAACACATGAAACTTTGAGGGACAAATCCAAACCACACCCAAACCATACCATACCATAGCATACCTCTCTCCAGATAGTTGGAAGAATCCATTCAATCCGGGATTCACCGCCTCCCTGTGGGCTCATTCACTCCCTACTTCCTATGTATACCAGTCTCTATTGTTCACTTTGGAGACATAGCTGTGAATAAACACAACTTTGAATTCTTCTGATCTTCTCTCAGGTTTTAACCTCTTCTAAGCTTTTGCCTTGAACTTTCAGTTAAGCTGCTTGTTTCCCCCCTTTTCCTTCGTGGACTGGTGAGTGCCTTAGATCCATGTAGATTGAGGAAAGGGCTGAACTCACCCTTGACCTTTACATCTGACTTCATGAAGCAGTCAGGCTCTTCCTAACCTGGAGCATGAGGGCCTCATAGGGTCATTCTAGTTATGATGAGTACCCAGCCCTTTTTTCAACCTTGGATTTTATTACAAAAGGCCCTCTTCTAATTTCTTGTTACCTGCTGAACTTTTTGGGAGTGTGCTAGGTTTGTTCCATGCTGTGGATGAGGAAGGAGAGAGAAATAAGTGGCCCTGCTACCCGTGGCTTACCAAAAATCTTGCTCTGAAGTTCTAGCTCTCTTCTTGCACTTTGGGCTTCTTCTTGTCTGCTGCGGTGATTTGTAGCTAAGGAAAGAAACACTTCGCCCTAAGGAGGCACTTCAGATCACCTAAGGAGAAAACTGAAAAATTCACCTGCCCCTTTGAATATTTGGAAAAATTTTCCACTCTTACACCTGGAAATCCTTAGCCATGGAGAAACACTGTTACCGATGGGTGGGTTCATATTGCTCAGGTGTTGGGGCAACAAAAAATGCAGAGAGCTCAGGTGATACCCCGTCTGTGTTTTTTATTTCTCCATTTGTCCTTAGCATATTCAAATCTGCTTTTGAGCTCTTCTCCAACTGTATTTCACTATTCAGGTTCACAACTTGCTTCTGTTGATTCACTTTCACTGGAAATCTGGCTTTGTGTTAGTTCTGCTTCTCTACTCCAGATCAGTACCCTCCAATCCAGTGTCCAGCTACCAGATATCCAGGGCTCAAGGCTTGAATTTCCTCCTCTCCCTGCTTTCCATCAACCTGGCCCTCAGCAGAGATTTGACAAAGACATAATAGCTGCCATCTGTGGGACACTTCACGGTTTACAAAGTATATTTACTCACTTTGTCTTGATTATAACAAGTATCCTACAAGAAGATTCAAAGAAGTAAATGCCGTGACCAAAGTCACAAAACCAGTAAGTAGTAGAGTTAAAGCTTTCACCTCAGGTCTCCTGATTCCGGATTCCATCCATCCATTGGGCAGTGTACATGTGGCCCAGGGCAGATACCTGGCTTTATATATCCAGGCACTTGTTGGCACAGAGCCTCTGCACAGCATATGAGCCAATCAGTTAGACCTGGTATATGATGAGAACTGTCTTTGCCATCCTAAACAGCAGCATACATGCTGTTGGAACTCAACAGCTCCCTTTAACTACTGTTCTAGGGTGGAATTGATTCCAGATACTGCATGCCTGCATATGGAGTCTGAGCAAGGTTTTGGGCTAAATGCATCAATACCTGCGTATGAGTGATTAGAAAAAGGAGGAAAACTGCTAACATAACAAGAAGTCAGCTGATACGGGGTCACATCTTTGCATCAGTGGCTCAATGCTGTTAGGGCTCTGAGTCCACCTCTCTGCCTCTGTTCTCTTTGACTTTTCCCTCATGACACCCTAGCTTCCACCATTATATCCTGACCCAACTGCACCTAAAAGCAAGAAGGAAGGAAAGAGAGGATTCCTTTTCAATGTCTGTTTTCAGTAGGGAAGAAAATCTTTGCCAGTTGTCCCTAGTGGATTTCAGGAGACTTGAAACGGGTCCCTTGGGCCAGCATTGGGTTACCCTTCCACACTCTACCTCAAGAAAACCTGGCACCGTTCAACATCCCTCGTGGGAATGGGGTTCTGCCATCAAGAATAAGGAGAACTCAAGGGGCCAAAGCTAGTGGGTGATTTTCAGTTACTCATTGGTTCACTTTTCCTGAGATAATTTTGCTGATATTG